CAAACAAACTTTCAGAGTAGAGGCTTTTGTTTCAACTGTTTCGGAAAACTAAACTTGTAACTCATTGCTCAATGAAGTCTATCAACAAAAAGTGCTTTTGTTTGATATTCATATGAAACAATAATTACCATGTACATTATTGCAAACTTTGCATTAATCTTAATACGGTACCTTAACGATTGTTTACGGTCTTCTCCCATTTTCAAAATTTAATTCATTTGCAGCTAATAGAGTAGGTTTTGGACAGGTCTGGGAATTTGCGTATCACCAACAGTAATATTAAAACATACTGTACTTCACTATTCAAAAGAAGTTATGTGCAAGTAAGAACAGTAAAAGTCCTCATGTGTTATAACCAAGTAGGTTAAATATAGCTAATATATTCCTATTCTTACAAACTCAACAAAGTGATGTTATTAAATTTATCTTATTTAATGGGTCATAAAATACGCTATTTATCACCACATTTCAAACATTTTCTTACCAAAGTCAAGAAAATGAATTTCACTGATACACTGAAAAACATACCATGTGATGGTATATATCTGGTTGATATTTCTTCACCAATTCAAATAACATGTTCAATTCGATTTTGACACGTAACTTAAATTAAATCAGAAGTTAACAGTTACTACTATAGGTAAAGAGAAAACAATCAAGCATTTTGAAATAAAAGTAATGATAGAAAACACCGGAAGCAAAAATTATATGTCAGTTTCCCGTTATGAATTTAAGAATAATATTTCTGAATTGAAACTGATCCCGACAGTTAAGGAATAATTACTACTGACAGATAGAGAAGGGATAACAACGCTATGAGTCAACAGTGTTAGGAAGTTATCAACAAGGATTTGTCCTGAAAGCTGAAAGGTTTTTGTTTGGTCCCTAAATATTGAAGTTTTTACAGTTATACATTTCGAGGGCATGTAGAACCATCTGTTAAAAGGGTTGCTAAGTCAACATTGACTTTCCAAAACCATCTTCAAACTGATTGTAGATTGGTGAAATTACTTACTTACTTACGCCTGTTACTCCCAATGGAGCATAGGCCGCCGACCAGCATTCTCCAACCCACTCTGTCCTGAGCCTCCTTTCCTAATTCCATCCAATTCTTGTTCATCTTTTTCATGTCTATTTCCATTTCTCGGCGTAATGTGTTCTTCGGTCGTTCGCTTCTCCTTTGACCTTGAGGATTCCATGTGAGGGCTTGTCTTGTGACGCATTCGGGTGCTTTCCTCAATGTGTGTCCTATCCATTTCCAGCGCTTCTTCCTGATTTCTTCCTCCGCTGGGATCTGGTTTGTTCTCTCCCACAGTACGTTGTTGCTAATAGTGTCCGGCCAACGGATCAGAAGTATTTTGCGTAGACAACTGTTAATAAACACCTGTATCTTCTGGATGATGACTTTCGTAGTTCTTCAGGTTTCCGCCCCATACAGTAGAACTGTCTTGACATTTGTATTGAAAATCCTGACCTTGGTGTTGGTTGACAGTTGCATTGAGTTCCAGATGTTCCTCAGTTGTAAATATGCTGCTCTTGCTTTGCCGATCCGCGCCTTCACATCTGCATCAGATCCACCCTGTTCATCAATGATGCTGCTTAAATATGTAAAGGTTTTTACATCTTCCAAATCTTCTCTGTCAATTGTGATTGGATCGGTGCATGCTGTGTTGTATCGGAGAACCTTGCTCTTCCCTTTGTGTATATTGAGACCTACTGCTGCTGAGGCTGCTGCTACAATAGTGGTCTTCTCCTGCATTTGTTGTTGCGTTTGGGATAGAAGGGCCAGATCATCTGAGAAGTCGTCTAACTGCATCCTAGATGTCCATTGTATCCCGTGCTTCCCTTCAGATGTTGACGTCTTCATGATCCAGTCGATCACCAGGAGAAAGAGAAAGGGTGAGAGTAAGCGACCTTGCCTGACACCGGTCTTCACTTCGAACGACTTTGTCAACTGTCCTCCATGCACGATTTTGCAGTGCAATCCATAATATGAACTTTGTATGATATTAACTATCTTCTCAAGTACACCGTATTATCGAAGAAGCTTCCACAGTGTTTTTTTGTTCACGTTATCAAATGCCTTTTCGTAGTCAATGAAGTTGATGTAGAGCGATGAATTCCATTCAATTGATTGTCCCACAATGAATCAAAGAGTTGCTATTTGGTCTGTACATGATCTATCCTTGCGGAATCCTGCCTGTTGGTCACGAAGTGGGACGTCTACGCAGGCATTCATACTGTTTAACAATACTCTGTTGAAGAATTTTCCCGGTATTGAGAGAAGAGTGATGCCCCTGCGGTTATCACACTTGCTGAGATCGCCTTTCTTCGGTCCAGCTGCTTTGCCACTCTTGATTTGTCTGATGGCCATGCTGATTTCTTCAATTGTTGGTGAGCCAACGTTGATCGGGAGGTCCGTGGGTGCTGCTTCGATGTTGGGTGGGTTCAGTGGAGCTGGTCGATTCAAGAGTTCCTTGAAGTGTTCTACCCACCTGTTTTGTTACTCTTCAATGTTGGTGATTACCTCGCCTTCCTTGCTTTTCACTGGCCGTTCTGGTTTGCGGCGATTTCCAGAGAGTTTCTTTGATATGTCTTACAGTTGTCTCATGTTCCCTTCTGTTGCAGCCTTTTCCGTCGTCTTTGCTAGATCTTCCACAAATTAACGTTTGTCGGTTCTGATGCTCTTCTTCACTTGTTTGTTTACTACTGTGTATTCAGCTTGTGCCTTGGCTTTTTCTGCTCTTGTTCGACTGGTATTGATTGCTGCCTTCTTGTTCCTTCTTTCTTGAATCTTATCCAGTGTATCAACAGTGATCCATTCCTTATGATGGTGCTTCTTGTGACCCAGGACCTCATGACATGTTGAAGTGATCGCCTCTTTGATCCCCTTCTAGTTGCTCTCCACAGTAGTTCCTTCTCCATTGAGTAGATCATGAAAGGCCTGGAACTTGTTGCTGAGTTTGTTAGTATCCTGAAGAAAGGCCGTATTGAACTTTTGTGATATTGTCCGCCTTATTGTCCAGTGCTTCTTGAGTTTCAATTTCATCTTGGCGACTAGCAAGTGATGATCTGATGCTATATCAGCTACTCTCTTGATTCTCACGTCCTTTATAGTCCTCCTGAAAGTTTTGTTGATGCAAATATGGTCGATTTGGTTTTGCGTGGTGTGATCCGGTGAAGTCCATGTGGTTTTGTGAATTCGTTTATGTGGGAACATGGTGCCGCCTATGACCAGTTTATTGAAGGCACATAGGTTTGCAAATCTCTCACCATTTTCGTTTCTTTCTCCCAGTCCATGTCGTCCCATGATGTCTTCATATCCAGTGTTGTCCGTTCCAGCATTGGCGTTGAAATCTCCCATCAGAATGGTCAGGTCCTTTGTTTGGCACTTCTCGATGATTGACTGCAGCCTATTCTAGAATTGTAGTCGTTGGTAGGCGCATAGCATTGGATGATATTCATTGTAATGCCCTCCTTTTTTGTTTTGAACGAGGCTTTGATGATCCTTGGTCCATGAGATTCCCATTCTATAAGCGCATTTTGCGCTTGTTTGGACAGCATCAATGCAACTCCTTGTGTATGTGGTGCATTTTCTTCTTCATGGCCGGAGTATAGCAGAAGCTCTCCTGAAGTTAGTCGTTGTTGTCCAACTTGCGTCTAATGTGTTTCACTGATCCCAAGTACCTCTAGGTTGTATCTTCTCATTTCTGCAGCAATTTGGAAGGCTCTCCCGGTGTCCCACATTGTACGAACATTCCATGTACCTAAATAAATGGTCGCTCTGGTTGTCAGAAGGGTCATCGGCCTCGTAACTTCCGAAGAAATTCGGCTTTCATCATGAGGCGTCATAGTTCTTCTAAATGAAGACCTTCTGACTCCCAGGGCAGAGGTTAAAAGGTTTGAATAATTTTTTCTGGTTAGCGTTTTTTTAGCGAGTTAGTTTTCTACGGGATGGGGACGCTAACCCCATGCCCAATCCTCCTCCTTTATCCGGGCTTGGGACCGGCAGTAGCCTCCGGAGGGACTCCAGGTGGAGTTGGGTTGGTGAAATTACCAGACGATAATTGTTGGATCTCTGAAATAAACACTAATTAGACATATTGGGCATGAGATGAAGTCTAATTTAAGTAGTAAAAATAGTAAGTCAATTAAACACTAAAAGTAGCGAACTATACCACATGGTAAAATCTTAAAAAGTAAAACTGTTTATCTAGAACAAAGTAAATATTTTATTTTTAAAAATGAAATTGACAACAAAACGTGACGATGGTTTGACATCAAAATATTTGTGTCCCATTTTTATTTATTATGTGCTTCAAGGAATAATCAAGAATATAAATAGTGTACTTTTACATTTACTGCAACTCATGTTCTATAATCTACATCCCATAATCATGTCACATTACACTACGTCTTTCCTTTTAACATGAACGTGAATAATCAATGTACAAAAAAGGATCGAAAAATGACTGTCTATTTGGTTTTAAGGATGCTCAATAAAAAGTCTACATATGAAAGGGAATAAAGCATTCCCAGTGCAATTACCGGACAGTAGATTATAATACTTAATTTATCGTGTATTTAACTTACCATTTTATTATAATCACCTAACCACCTTTTAAATGAATTTAGATTATCTTCATACTTTGCCGAATGAAAAAAAGCCATGAAATAAAATAAACTATTGATATATTAATGTGTGGTTTAAAACAGATCTATCAGTAGGATTAAAAGCAAGAAATTCTTTAGTATGTTCCATGTTTGGTGTGTGTGAAAACAGTGAGGAAAAAGAATTGTATTCATTCCCAATGATTGTTGGTATTTATCTGGAATCCCTAGTAAAATACTATCACATATGAAAATAGAAAAATTTTCATTTAATAGTGAAACAACAGGTATTACCAATTCATTTAATTAGGTCGCTTGGTCTTGTTAAGTGAATAAATGACCAATCTCTAACAGAAATATAATCATATTAGACAAGATAACTGACTTACAAGATCTGATTTAAAATAATCGGTCATATATCGGTTGCATAAACAGACAAAAGTCCAAAATGCATCCTCTTCTGGCATATGTATAAGTAACGCTGCAGCAATCGGTGCTTGAGCTTGGCAATAGCCAGTAGCGGGATGTAGCAGTGAATATGCTTTGAGTACGTTGAACAGAGATGCTTTTCTAATAAATGAATAAAAAATGAGAGAAATACCGGTGCTGAAGATTTTTCAAAACAGTGAACGGTTATGCCAAAGTATCGAAATAGATAGTTTATACTAAATCTTAAATGCTTCATTATTCTGCGTACGTTTACTTTTTTAACTCATGTTACTATTTACACTGTTTTGCCGACTACTTTTCACCCGTTTTAAAACATGGTGATTTCAACTGATATAATTTTGCACGGTGTTACTTATCAATGCCCAAGTCCAACAAATTCTCAGAACGAAACCAGGTTATTTTAGTTCCATTTCGTAGTTTGTCATTTGTTCCAGGTTTGATAGACATGTAGGCTTCAACAAGTAGCTGGCTTTTAAAACTATTCCTTTGTACCACAGAGAATCTTAATAATGAGTATATCGTATGTCAAGACAGAACTTGTGTCTTTGACTGATGTATTTTTCACATGTAATCATAAACTGCAGTGTCTAGTGAATGCAAGAGATGAGGTCGTCATAAAGTTTCTTTATAAAATGTGGCATATATCAACTGCATTTCCTCAAAGATGTCCCTCACTCACGCTTGCCCCATCCCCATTTTTAATGTTCAAAACTTAATTTGAAACTATTCAAATTCTGGCTTTTCAGCTATCTTTAAATTTTAAATTTTGATAAAGTCGGGTGCACGGGCGATTTTCCTAAATACATTTTATCAACAATTATTCGGCAGTGGCGAACAACTTACAACAGCATCCATCTTATCTTTTCATCACTATAGAAAACTGATGAATATTCTTGCGTCGCATCATTTTCGTAGTATTCAGAGCCCTAAGTAAAACTCTTGGGCCCACCAAGAAAGAGCTGTTTTTTTATTTCTCCTTATACACCATTCAAAATTTCATCAATTGTGTCAAGGTTTTCCTTAGGTTACACCAAAAGGTTTAGCAGCTTAACATATGTAGCATTAGCAGCTCAGGAAAATATAGACTTTCTAACTAATTGCCTTATTGGCTAGACTTAAAATTTCACCAGCGTTATTATCAGAAGAAAATTCAAGTTATAATACTGGAAAAAAGTAATTTTCTTTTCCGTTTTTTGCTCAATCAAACTATTTCTACTGTTATACTTTGAGGAACGTCAGGCATAATATGATCTATTGAGTTGGCAATTCAGTTCGACGTTAAATATGAGATAATTTTTAATAATTTGCTTTGATTTACGTGAGTGAAATATGTTTATTCAAGGAGGGCTAGTGTGTTGACTACTGGTAATTAATGACAAACTTGACTTACCCATTACCATGGCTTGTAGCAAAAAGTACATGATTAGGCAACTGTCTGTCGACATCTAATTTGATTTGTGAAATTGTCTTTGGATCACCCGACATTCTCAAAAGTACCTGTGTACGGTTTAAATATGAAAATTAGTAGTCGAGAAAAATAGGTCACAGAAAGACTATTTTTGTCACAAATGTACCAAGGTATTCACATTAAGTTTGCTACTTTTTGCAATTGAAAGAGCTCTTATTTTGAAAAAAATTCAGCATGTTTGACAAAGTTCAACCACGTTAGGAGTGAGATGAATATCACCAAATGAACTAAACTGTACTCACTCGAGAATCGGCTGACGTTGAGAGTATAAACTAATGAATGCTAAGTTGGTTGACTCGAATATCGATGGCATGATTTCTGATTAATTGGTTTAGAATTCTCAAGCCACGATAAAATATATTTTACGTGTTCTTGAATTTCTAATGGCTCTTCATCTAAAGTAAGTCTGCAATCAAAAATGCTTTCAAAATGTAAAATCTCTACAGGTTTCCTACTTTAAAAACTGTTGTTTGTCAAGATTTTCTCTTAAACTGGTTACATCATGTTAAAAGAGGTTGTGAGGATTGAAGTATGCCTATTTTGTTTCCTCATTAGGGATGTTAGTAAAACTGAAAAGAGATGGAAAAAATGAACAGCATTTAACGGTGACAGAAAATAGTTTAGCAATAACAGCGGGAGTTTTGTTTCAACTGCGCTTAAAATTTGGGTTCTGTTCTATTTTTTTCGACGTTGTGGACACCACCACATTTTCTGCCGGTGAAGATCGCTGGGCTAATCAACGGCTAGGTCATCTTGGGCCCGTTAGATAGAACTACTCTGCAGTCCTATGTTGAAGAAACGTTTGCCTACACTCTATATAAAAATATCATAATCAGGACGAAGAAAATGTCAAAGTACGCTCTCTGATTTATTTACAAAGCCTATGGTACTACTCCTAGATTCACTAGCGCTCTGTAGGAAGTCGTTGAAAATGGTTAAAATATGTTTATACCTTAGTAGATTTCAAATTGCCTAAGTTGAAGTAAAGGAGTTAATAAATCCGTAAACAGTAAAATCAAGAGCAGATTGTTCTAGTCTCGGACATATATAGCACCATAGTTATGTTATTTTAGCAGTAAACGTCAAGATATGCTAGTGTTCATGAGATTACTTCTGCTCTATAGTTGTGAAAATTGGCCCATTTGGGATGGAAATATCTAACTACTATATGTCAGATCACCGCCTTTTTCGAATGATCGCTTACTTTTCAATGACAGCATTCTCACCAAGCTATGTTTTTTGCCTCTGAGACTAGGTCGAAAATACAGGTATCCATTTTTAAACATAGTACAGTGATGTAGAAGATATCACAAAAGACTAGTATCTATTCTTCCATTAGAAACCGCTTGTTGAGATCCTATATATTGTCTAATTCAGTGGTTTGGAATGTTATCCGATAGTCTTTGAAAGTCGACGGCATTCCTGTTGAGGTTTTCAGCAGGAGTTTCCATAAAATCAAAATGAACTGTATCTTTTAAGAAAAACTATTTTTATTCATTCACAGCCTACTACAATGAAATCTCTTTTTTCATGTTATTGTAATTTTTTATTTGATGGCGAATGTTTTTCTCACTACTTGTTGAGAATGTCTATTCGTTATAAATAAGAGATGAAATAAGATAAAACTGGGGAATAATAAATCACGTAACACAATTATCTGGAACTGACGTGGTGGAGTAATACTCGTAAGAGTCAAATATCTTAAGTATTGAAAGACGGAAACGGATTCAGTGAACTAAATGTTCTATCCAATAGAATTAACATAATGATACCGTTAGAAGAAGCGATATGACAAAATTAAAAAGCAAAATCACATTCCTCTACTGGATGTGATTTTTTGTTCAACATTATCTGTTTTAATTCTACGTGGGAATTACTCATTGTAGTACCTGTTTTGTTTTCTAGCGTGATATTTTATTCGCTACAATATTAATTTATTTGAGTGTGATGTCCATTTAAGATACGATATTCTTGTAATAAATTAAAACGGACTATGATCAGCATGACACAGCATATGATTTGTTATAATTTTAGGTATTTTCCAAATATAGGATCTCATCCTAATTGATAATGAAAATGGATGTGCAATCAATATTTGATGAGTGCATTTTCGACCAGGATCGTCGTGTTTAGTGGTTTTCAAATCTTTATTTTTAAGTCTTGGTGTTCTTACTTTGTGTTGTGAAATTTGCAGTGGTTCCTCCTTTTATAAGCGATTCCGACATAACAATCTGCAACGCAGTCATAACAATAAGTATTAGGGTTTTGGTATGAATAGCTAGCAATAATCTTATGTTACAAGTCCTACTGAGAAAATAATATTGATGTTTTTCTCATGGTTATCAACTTCTTACCATTTATATTTAAAGAGTAGTTGTTCAACAAATTGTATTTTAAAGGAAACAAATAGCATGTATGATATTGTGGTGCGTGCTACTTATATTTATATAAGTAGTATATTATGCGAGTCAGGTATGTAGTGTCTGGCAGCAGAAGATGAGGGAAGATCAAGAAAGCAAGAGCGGGAATAGAATGCAATTTGTATGAAAATGTAAGAACAATGAAGTCTGAGGCATTTCGGGACAAGGGGTGGACATTTTGCAAATTAACAATTGAATATATAGTTCTCAGATTTTATTGATTGTCCCCAACAGTGTTCTGTTCACTGCAATATAACTACCAGTAAACTGACAGAGCAATTATAAGTCTATATATTCATGTGGAAGTTAAGTAAGTAATGGCATAGAATTCTAATTCTTTTGGAGGTGATTACTTAGAATCTATCTTAAAGGGTCGGGATCTATATCTATGTTCCACGTTTTAAACAATTTATCTTTATAGCACCAGATCAACGAGTAAACACATTGTTACATAGATATGATCCACACAGAGATAATGAATGCAAGGACCAGAATAGCTTATGATTTTTACCAGTGATATTCAAGACAGATTTCAATTTGTGAAAGTCAAAACTGCAACAGGAGACGACTATGGTTTTCCTTTTACAAACTTAATTACTAAAACATTGAAGACTTTATCTACATCATGAATCTATAATCTAATTATCTAGATAAGCTCATGGGGCAAATAAACTCAAAACACTTCAGTCTCTAATAATCATTATGTTTGTCTACCCCTGTACATCTTTATTGTCAGAGGCGCTGAATATTAAAAAACATAAATGTGAACCGCGAGTTATCTTATTGGGTATTCTTACCATTAAGAATACCTAGGCAAACCAAAAATTTACTTCATAAGTCTTTTACATTATATTCATGTGAAATTTTTTCTGGACATTGAAAGTCTGCATATTTGGTGTATATGTTTAAGCCTTACCTTATATTTCCCACGTTCTATCTGCATCATTCTATGGCTCCCACAGAGATACTGCCACACTCTTGAACGTATAGCCGGTGCAATACCTTTTCGACATTGATTTCTCACCCGATCTGTTTTATAATACATCCATTTATCCCATTCACTTAGCATATTTTGCCATTTCAATTCTTTTCGGCGTATTTTGTTCAAAGAGGATTCAGAAAGTTTCCTGTGTATTTTAGTTTAACCTGGTGATCCACCTTACCGCGTGTTTGTTTCACAGAATTGTTCACCTTCGAAGAATCCATAACGATCGACAGCACCGTTTACCATCAGGATGTTGGCTGGCTCGTCGAAAACTTCTGTATATATAATGAAAAGTTATGCTTGATATAAAAAACTAACCGGAAGCCATGTCATTTCAAACTGTTGTGACTAAGCAGTCCAAAAGTACATTATCACAACAAATTGCATAACAACACAGAAATTCGAATTCTATGCCTTTTGGTTTGTATCGACTGCAAAGAATTCAGGAATATTTAGTATAAAAAGTCGTTATTTAATCAAAGATATCTTGAAGATTGGATCAGAAATTACCTGAAGACAGAGGTGAGTATAACAAGTAGTCTTAACTGCTCGATGGCAAATAAAACCCATCTAAAAACAGATACATATATATAGAGATATATATAAAACCTGAAACTCACTCTTGGTGGCGTTTCGTTCTCTGAGTTGTATGCTTTGGTCGTGGAGTTTTTATCGTTCTTCTGAACGACAACATCATCACAAACTTCAGGTCAAAGTGGTGTTTGAGTTTATCCACATATGACTCACAGCTTGTCCTGTAGACCTTGATTATTGTTAGCCTTTAACCTGTCATTATTTGTTTTTTTATTTTGATTGTATCTCCCGTCGACTTGACTCTTGGTCCTATATTTGTCTATAATTTTTTGATTGGTTGATAAATTGAACTGAACATTTCACTTCTACTTGAAGTTTGTGCTGATGATATCGTTCAGAAAATTTATGAAGGCTCCACAACCAAACCATCCAGTTCAGGTAACAAAACCCTACCAAAACCATCCACCTAAGCTACAAATATTCTATACCATATCTGTAACTTGCTTTACTTGTTTAGGAATATAAACTTTTGTTCAAACATCAAAGTAAGTATAGAAAGTCTCATTTATTCTGGCTATCAGTCATTACAGTGTTGGTAATGATGAAAAAATGTCACGTAGTCAACGGTTAAACTATAATAAAATTCAGTTAGAGTGCATGTCTGAGAAGTGGTTACACTAGTAGGCAGTCAGTCGTAAGCAACTTAGAACTTGACAAACATGTATATAATTTGAAGCTGCTACTATCAATACAATCATCAACCCTCAAGGATTTTTATGACTTTGCTGTATAAGCGCTCATGACTTTGTACTTATGTCCAAATAAAGAGATGCAATAATGAAAAGTTATATATCCAATGAGAATCTATCATTATAATCTATCGATATAGGGACAAAAACGATAGCGTTAGATTTTAAGTATCATTATGTCAGTGAAGATCTATACTTTTGGGACTTAGGTTCTCACCATAACTTCATTCACCTTCTACGGATGAGAAAGCTTGACCGAGGTACGTTTTACACTTTAGTAATAAATGTTAGCTGTTGGCACTAATTTAACATATGATTTAAAACTAAATTAATGTGTTTGCAATTGCAAGTTAGAAATTTCCTTCTTTCATCTTGGTCACCAAGTAAACAGGTAATATTTTAGGAAATCATAAGACTTTCAGTTAGTTTATTTACATTGACTTCACTTTTGGTTTTAGTTTTACCTTGATTTAAAAAAATCGAAGGACTGAAGTGAATCTCTTCAGAGGTTTCAATCAGCATATTGACTATAACCATTCCCTTTAAGATTTTTGTAGACACCTTGTTGTAATACTAAGAGAGTATTGGTAGAAGCGTTTGATCCTGCTTCAGAAATAAGCTGATTCGCTCTAGTATTCACTAATAAAATCCACTTCTAAAATGAAACAAGATATTGTTGAGTTTGAAGAGATGTGTGAAAATGTTTCACATAAGGTGATTAAAATTGATTGTCAAATTATATTTCAAATAATACAGTAAAAGGAGAGAAGAATCAACTATTATTTAACAGCCGATCTGATAAATGGCTATAAATTTATAACCATGAAACATGATGACACTCTTTTCATGGGTCTAGTGAATAAAAGATATTACCTATATATTTTCACTTATATCTCAGAGCTAGTCAAAGTCATTGTATATTGTGAACAACAGAAACTAAGTAACCGAGCTCATTGGGCGTTTTACTATTTCTCTAAGTTTTATCATTATTTTCAGTTACAAACTGATGAGATGTCGATATACATTTGATAGGTTTGCTTAAATTTATAAGCAAAATTCATTTGATTACTTTTTAAAATACAGTAATTGTAACAGAATCATTCCTTACAAATATGTGATGAAAACAAGGGGAACCTTGTAATAATTAAACTTATTCTTTTACTTCATTTTATCAGGTGGCTTTCAAATATATTTGCTTTGGAATTTAGGCAGCAGATTAACTAAAAATATTCGTTACCAGAAGGTTTTATTACACCTATAATGACATTCAGGCTTGTATAAAGTAATCTAAGTTGAAAGTTGGGCCGAAAGTTCTAGGATTCCAGGTAGAGCAAGGCTGACGTTTGCTTTACCTTTGCTGACTTTAATGATTCACATCAGCCGACTAGAGCTCATAACTCCCGGTATATATTTTCACGGTAGCTCATTGCTGACTTAGAATGTGAACCATTATTGTCCGATCTTGTTCATAATAGTTGCTGCGATATGACAGACATTCAGTTTCCATTCACTCTGCCAAACAGAGGTCACATTGTATTGTTCTTTGGGCTTTAAATACAATATACAATATGCATCTACTACACTCCGTCTCATCTGATAAGCCAACGTTCCTTCAATCTGAGACTGTGGTATCTCAACAGATTGCATATTAAGAGAACAAAACAAATGATAGAATCCGTCCATTACACCAGCTAAACTAGATAATGCCGAGACTGAAAGTTCACCAAACTATTTCAATCAGGTGTACTCATATGGTGTTGTTATTAACACTTTTCACGGCCAAGCTGTTGAGATTCCGACTATAGGACTAGTACATGTGACTGCAAAATTTGCTTTTCGTTTACGTGTTAACATTAAACTTGTTAAGTCACTGGGCCCTGATGGGTTACATACACGATTGTTGTCATCCGTCGTGGATACTATTTCAGAACCACTCACAGTGGCAGTTCAACATATCTTCTTCTAAAATTCGATCCTCTAGAGATTGAGCAAATGCTATAGTTAACCCTATATTCAAGCATGAAACAAGATAGATCATGTTTAACTACCGACCTATCGGTCTAAGGTATTTAAGAAAATAACTCGGACTTAGCCACTAAGTCACGTTAGACCATATAATTTATTGGCTACTTGGTAGCGCGATTTTTGGAACAGATACTCATCCTTAAATAACCTACTAGCTGCGAGGGTGGGTGAGTTTTTCGTTTATCTCATATTAATAGATTAGCAAGATATTTAATAGGGCGCCTTAATTAGGGATTATGCAAAACTCTCCAGATTTGGAATAAAAGATGTCACACAAGAGTGGATGAGAAACTTTCCCTGTGGGTAGAAATAAAAAGTGGTGGTAAATGAAGCAATGTCTGAATGGAAGTTGGATAAATATCCCATGACCCAAGGCACTATCTAAGACCCTATATCTTTTGTTCTGTTTCAATGGTTTATCAGGACTGCTCAATTCATCGACACTGTGTTTAAAGATGATATCAAAGTTTAGAGAACGAAAGGTGCTGACGCTGATCAACCTTATTATTCGGTCGCCCGAGATTCAAATCCATATAACCGAATGATAATGATGTCGAGGAAGTTTATATGACCTGTTTACTTAGTAGATATTCTGTTGACGTATCCCGTCAATAACAACGTAGATATGTGAAGTCAAATATGAAAGCATTAAAGCAAAATATATTACAGACATTTCACAGTGTAACAGAACGGCAAGAAACGAGAAATGCACGTGAATTGGAGTTTCAGAAGCGACCAATTCAGTGTGTAATAGGTTACTCGGTCCATGTAAGCCTGAAAGAGATATAAGTAAAAGACTCTTGACTAACGTACACAAGAACATGAACCATGATCAAGGTTATGTGTGAGTACCTGGCAAAGACAAAATTATTGATGATAGAGAAAAACGACACATTCTAAGATGCGTCTAACGTAAGGAAATTATACCGCTTCTCGATAGTCGTCCACCTAACTCCACAGGAGAAGTTTTCTTAGTTAAGGTTTGTTTGTGACAACGGACATGATGATCAACAATGTTGACAACAATGGCGTGAGTGTTTTACAAGTGCGTCATGTTTTCGAAACTAACTGAAGAAAAAATACGTTTATATATGATCGGGTGATAATTATCCCAATTTCGAGGAAAGGGCACTGAAACCCCAAATTTGGAGAAAGTTTACTTTCTCCTAAACCTTGATGTAGGTCATTTGACTTGGGGGATGTCACCAAATTATCCCCAAACTTGAGAGATTGGGTTAACAAACACAAATTATGTAGTCCTTAAGATACACACTAATTTTTCAAACAATTAATGTCATTAATAAGATTTAAACTTTATTGTTCATGAAGAATAATAAATAAAATCTATTTGTCCAGCATATCTTATAATAAAAGCTGCGGTATTATCGTTGTCATTGTCAGTGACCTTCGATAGTTTTCAATATCCAGTTTGTCCTATTGTGACACAGTTATACAGTATTAAGTACTTCTGAACAAACAAATCTGGCCTAGTTATAGAACAACATGTTTAGTATGAAGAGGAATAAGTTACATAGAGTGATCACGCTTGCATGGACGAATCATGCCTGAATGATTAAGTGCTTCCAAGTTCATCATTTCTGAAATCTATGGTGTAAATGTCAAATGTTGTGAATCAGGTTATCGTATACGAAGTGATGATCGTAGAAGTAGTCAATATCAGTTTGAGCTGCATACTTATCTTCGGAGAGATATGTCGTTCAAATAGTCTGGAAAATGACATATCAGAGATTATTCAAATGAGATGTTAAGCAAACATTGAAGGCATCAAGTTAGCTAGATATTCTGGAAAGGAGTCCCAGAACACATTAGGGCTCGGCGGACGAAGAATGTCGTCGGCAAAAAGCACAGAAAGTTTTGCACATAGAGATTTCCAGTTCCGTTTGTGAGCGAAAGAATATGATGCTAGTATTGTTTAGGAGTAATATGGTGGATGGAGCATCAATGCCGCTCAAAATTAGCACTCCACATCTATCGATATTGATGGGATGTAGGGGTCTTGTTGTTCTGTTTTATGTCCTTATCAAGTATCTTTAAGAGACATCAACTAAATTGGTTATCTACCTCCCATTCTGAAGATCATCACGTATAGAGATGTTCAGTACTAGGATAATTTGTACTCAATAATGCAAATAGGACTGATCTTAGTACTGGGCCTTGTGACACTTCAGTTATCACTTAAAATAAATAAATAGATGGTAATCTCATGCTTTTTAATCTTTCCCAAATGAGATATGAAGTGGTAAATAGGGGAAAAATTCACACAACATATGAAATAACTGTAAATATAATAGTCTGTGCTAAGAAACTAATCATCAGAGTTCCCATTAAATTAGTTTTAGTGCCTCTTTCTGCTTGGCTTTCGAGCGGATGTTAGAAAATATGCTTTTGATACTAGAAATGTAAATAATACCAAGCAATTGAAGACAAGCCAGAAGTTCACACGAATATGTAGTTACATCCGGTCAGTATAGTGGCAATAGAGAATATAAAAGCCTTCTGTATTTAGCACACGGAAGAAAACGGAACTCAGATAGTGGACTCGCAAAGTAACGTATCACATAATTTTTATACATATTCACAGAACATATTAAAGACATCATCAGAGGAATTACGACCGAAACAGTATTATATCATACAAATGAAATTTCGATTGTTTTTGTCACTGAACGCACATCTGTTCCTGAAATAATAGCACAAGTTAAAATTTATGGCTTCTACGTGGTTCCGAGTTGATAATTCTATTTAATCAATTAAATATCCCTTCATTCAAAAGTCAGTCATGGAATAGAAAATAGTAATGGGTTTCTGGAAAGTAGATACCTAGAGAACAAAAGGAATTATCTTAACATGGTTTGCGCCTTTGAAACTTGTGCTGTGTCCAAACTCACTAAAAGTTTCATTTTTAATTCAAAGAACCTTACCACAGACTAAAGCTTGATAGGTTGATTTTTTCTAGGTTTCATTTGAAATAATTGTTAACTTCGGTTTATTCCAGCTTACTTGCTGGCGTCTAGAATATTTCACGGTCAGATTCTATTTTCGACATATTTCCAGTATATAGTGGATGTAACGCCTTTTTTATCCATTTCGGTTCTTTTCGCATTAGTGTTCAGTTTTGAACTTATCTCGGTTACCGGCCAATCAAAGAATATGGAGGAGGAGTTTAAGGTTGCAACATTTTAGAGCAAGACGACAATAAGGAACAAACAATATCTGAATGCTAGTAATTATTTTTAAAATGTTTCATGCTAGCATAATATGAACTGAAATGAATTCACAGTAGTTTAGGATATTTTCTGAAATTCTTATGACTGATCAGTTTCTTATATCCCACCCAAGCAGTATCTAGTTGCGTTAAATTTTATTGTGTCGTGATTCTATACATTTCTAGGGCCAAATGAGGGCAACACCACCAATCGTTGTAAAGATCAAACGAAAACTCATGAAACAGTTATTTATTAGTTAGAAAAAAAGAATATGAGGGATGTAAAAATAGAAAACGAATAAAGCACTGTTTGGACTCCGATATGTCAAATGACGAATTACAGAAGCTATCCGTGGGTCAAATATTTGCAATCTGTGTCACGGTCAATAAAAGTCAATCGGTTAGACAATAATGGTTA